CTAATGATCTGATGCAGGTTGCTATTCCAGATACTAAGTCTTTAGAGGACTAGAAAGATATAGGAGTTGGAGAATAGTACCAGCATGATGGACAGGTTAACCATAAAGAGCAAGATTTATCAAGTCCAGAAAATGCTTCTGAGACGGACCCAACAGAAAGAATGGACGAGAAAACAGAAAAGCTTCCAAGCTTGCTGAGTATACATCAAGCTGGATATGTTTCGCCACCACAGAATGAAAATGAATTCTCCATAACAGATTTAGTTTGGGGAAAAGTCAGAAGCCATCCTTGGTGGCCTGGACAAATATCTGATCCTGCTGATGCTTCAGAGAAGGCAGTCAAATATTACAAAAAGGACTGTTTTCTCGTAGCATATTTTGGAGACCGAACTTTTGCTTGGAATGATGCATCTCTCCTAAAGCCCTTCCGGCCACATTTCTCTCAGATAGAGAAGCAAAGTAACTCAGAAGCATTTCAAAATGCTGTTAGCTGTGCTTTGGATGAGGTTAAAAGACGTGTTGAGCTAGGTCTAGCCTGCTCTTGTATACCAAAGAGATGCATATAAAAGATTGAATATTAGATTGTTGAAAACACTGGGATCCAAGAGGAATCAAGCAGAAGAAAAGGTGTCGAAAGGTAAAGTTCTCTTGTTATTAAAGTGTGAAGGGTAAAGTAGGCATATTAGGAACAAGTTTGTGGTAGAAATCTATTTTCCACAAGAAACACGCGCATTTCCAGTGCGTTTAAGACAAACGCCGTACATTTGACGATTTCCGTCCACTTTTCAAAATAATTCAAACTATGAGGTACCGACGCGTATGATATCAAATCACAGGGGACTTTTCTGTATGATGGCTATACCACAGGGGGCTTTTTTGTTTTTGTATTTTAAAATATATAAGTACAATAAATTTTAAATTATACCTATAATCATGTATTATACGAGTATATTATGAGTACTTACTAACTAAGGTACTAAGTTTTAATCATTGATAAAACATCTTATCGTTATTTCAAATAAACTTCCTAATATTAGTTTGAAATAAGTTTTAAAGTAAAATAGTACATGCGTCCCATAAATCAATAAATCTTGATTATTAATCAAATTTGCCATGTTATCAGTAATAATTACTATTTATGTATAAAAACTTACTATTACTTGAATTAAACTTACTAAGGTATATTATGAGTGCTTACTAACTAAGGTACTAAGTTTTAATCATTAATAAAAACATCTTATCATTATTTCAAATAAACTTTCTAATACTACTTTGAGATAAGGTTTTAATGTAAAAATTGTACATGCATTCCAAAAAATGGTAAATTTTGATCCTTAATCATTTTTATTGCCATGTTATTAGTAAGAATTACTATTTATGTATAAAAACTTACTGTTATTTGAACTAAACTTACTCTTTTAAAAGTAAGTTTGGGATATCAAGTAGTAATCTATTTATTTAAAAATTAAGTTTAATATTATTCCAATTTACCTTTTGAGGTATAAAAGTTACTAATCTATTACACTTAACTTACCATTTTAGATAGGAAACTTACTTCCATAATTTTAGGTGTTATTTTATTTAGGCGAATATGTCCAACAATAAATCAAATGATCGCTAAAAGTGCAACAACGTGTTATATCAGGTAAAAATTATTGCGCTATCATAACTATCGTTTAGTATCTATATCTAAATGTATTGCTGAGGGGGTTTTGGATAAGGAGCTTCCAAAATTATCAAAAGTTTGAATGCTATTTTAATAGAATTTTACATTTTTTTAATTAAAAAATATTTATCTCTTAACTAATCATGTAACCGGCCCTACAAATCCTATAATCATACTTATATTTTTTCCACATTTCCCTCATGTTTTTTCCACTACCCCATAAAATTCAAACTCCTAAACTTTAACTAACGGATAATAACCACCCCTATAAAATGATATCTGCAAATTCCAATTCACATCTCACATTTATTACTGACACTTACCATATCACTTAGAGTAATAACTAACCGTTAATTTAAGAAATTCACAACTACGAAAGCCAAATATCCAAAATTTAGGAGCCTGTTTAAATTACAATTTTCACAATTCAACGTATCTTATTGTCATAATATATTTTACTCTCACAATCATTCACAAATTATAAAGGCATTAAAAATAAATAATTTTTTTAAAAAAAATTAATTCAAAGGTAGTTAATTCACACACACACACATATATACATACATACATATATATATATTCTCATAATGCATATATATATAAGATTATCAAATCGAATGCATAATATTGGTAAGTATTTCATTTTAAAATAAAAAAAACATGCAATTACATTTATTTCTATCCATATATCATTCATTTTCTAATATAAATTATTATTATTATTTTAAGATCCATCTTTTGCAAAAACACAATTCTTGAATGATTTACAGTTTTTGTCATATTTTGAACTATTGTTAGACAAATTTTAAATTTTAATTATGTTGGTATAATTTTTTTAACTTTTTTCAAATTAAAATGGTATAATTTTTGAATTTATTTTAATAATGTAAGTACCGTGCGTAGCACGGATATTCACACTAGTTGTCCTTGTATGACCGAGCCTGAGAGTTTGAGCATGTTTTGGTTGAATGTTATAATTCAAAATTTGGGGTTTGGAGGGAATATGTTATATCCATTGTAATCAAAACTCAAACAAAAGTGGGGATAAGCCTGGTTGTCACAACGAACCATATAAAGTGAATTTTTTTATTTATTTGCAGAATGCTACCTTATTTTTTCATGCATCAGAATGGATTGATTACAAGTTGCATTTGCTTGCCTTTTGCTAGAATTTTGGCTAATTAACAAATTATACTAATTGTAGAATAGTAAGTTTGTAATCATTTTCAATTTTTGAAAAATTTGAAAGTTTGGATAACAATAACAACAAATCTTCCTAGTTACATGTAGAATATCACTTGTTTCTATATCACAATTTTTATAACTTAAAACCTATGAATATAATAAGATAAAATTATTATTTTATAATACGATAAAATTTTATTATTTTCTAAGGTTACGTGAAAGGTCAAAATATTTTTCACAAAATATTTTAAAATATATAAGTACAAAAGAATATTAAATTATACATATAATCATGTATTATACAAGTATGTTACAAGTACTTACTAACTAATGTACTAAATTTTAATCATTTATAGAATATTTTTATTGTTATTTCAAATAAGCTTCCTAGTATTCATTCGGTATAAGCCATAAAGAATTGAGTAATTTGAGTCAGTTGCTTCTGTGTTAATTTTGACTGTGGTTAACAAACTCAATGATTTAGTCCGTCTAACTTAGGTTAATGGAAAAATGGGTCACAGTTGGCTGGAATAAAATAGTAATAAACCCGTTTTTCAATAAAAAAATAAACTCTTTATGACTTTTCTCTATTATAAGAATAGAGTACCCATTTTCTTAAAAAAATTTATTTATCAGATAAAATAAAAATAAACCAATTTTTCAATAAAATCCTAACTCTTTATGCCTTTCCTCTATTATAAGAACCGTGTACCCATTTTGCCATAAACAAATTTATTTATCGGATAAAAAAAATTTTATTTATCGAAAAAATAAAAATGAACCCGTTTCTCAATAAAATATCAGCTATTTATGGCTTCCCTCCCTTATAAGAAAAGAGTATCCATTTTGCCATAAACAAATTTGTTTATCGAATAAAATAAAAATAAATTCTTTTTTCAATAAAAAACCAGTTCTTTATGAATTTCCTCCATTATAAGAATATAGTACCCATTTTTCTAAAAAAAAATTTTATTTATCGAATAAAATAAAAATGAACCCGTTTTTCAATAAAACACAAGTTCTTTATAGTTTTCATCTATTATAAGAACAGAGTACCCATTTTTTCATAAATAAATTTATTTATCGGATGAAAAAATAAATATATTTTTCAATAAAACACCAGTTTTTTATAGTTTTCCTCCATTCACTACAACAAAAAAGGGTATTAGCGACAACAACTTTAAGAAGAAGTAGAAAGCTTGACGCTCTTAAGAGGCTTATAGCAAGGAAAAGGACAATACCTCACCAAAAATTGGAGCCATCATATACTCTGCGAGGGCAAGGACTTTTCTCGCTTAAAATTCTCGCCAAAAGGAGAGCGGGAAAGCTTCCCTCCAAATACTGATTCTAGTGGGCCAAAATTTCTATGTTATTGGTGAGAAATCATGGGTGCTTTTTGTGAAAATTTCAAAATTTTGCTCCCTTTCAATTTTTAGCAGAGTCGCACATTGAAAATTTTTTCACCATTCCCGGCACAGCACTTGTCAAGCCTAGCACCACATGAATTTCAAGCCTTCCACACTTGCAAGGCTACTTTCCCAAATATTGTTCTCAGATCAGAGCACTCGAAAGTTCAATTGCAACCTCCCCTGCACCTTTCTCCTTCTATCTCTCTTTCCCTCTCTATCAATTTTCAGTTTCCCATAGACATATGGTTCCCCTCTTCCTCTCTAGCATCCAGATCTGAATTTATACAATCATGGACACACTTTAAAGACCCTTCCGATGCAATGGCAGACTTCAAGGAAAAGCGATGGTGTAGGTTTTTTAATGTGTTATTTTAGAAAATGGGTCCGTGATCCCGATTTTGTTAGGAATTGTTGGGGTATGTAGATTGTTAATTTTGATTGCCAAGCTTTCATTTGAGCGATCAGCTTCTAAAAGGTCAGAGAGGCTGTTGAGTCTTGTATTTGGGGTTCTTGGGTTTTTCTGGGGCCTCGCGATTGTTTTGGAGATGGTTCCCGGTTGGGGTCTTGATTTTGATTTTGAATCGTTGGACGGATTTGGGAAGTTCTTTATTGCTGTTCTAATGGGCTGCATTGTGGGTCTCTTTTACATCCCAGCTACGAGGAATGCTCGTGCCTTTTGGCTTGGAACTGATTAGATTCGTTCTAATTTGTCCATAATTTCCTGTGGATGGTTTGGAAGAATGCTTCTTTATGGCAATTTCTTGTTAGTTGTATTCACTTCCACGCTTTGGGTTGGCCCGTTTACTGAACTCCTCGTCTGCGAGAAATCTGATGGAATCAAAGGGCTTCATTCCAATGGTAGGAACAGATATACTGAGGAGTTGATAGGTAGATTGGGCATGTTGCGATCAGATTTCTACAAGTTCAAGGTTTGGTGCATGTTCAGTTCTGGTATTTTGCAAATTTTGTCTTTGCGGCCAAATGTGCAGATGTTTTTAAATGAAGCGGTACTGTGTTGGTACCAAAGATTGCATGCCAGTAAGGTCCCTGACTTGGATTATAGCAGGGCAAAAGTTTTCTTGCACAACCATTACATGTTTCTTGTAGTTCTGCAGTTCTTTGCGCCTGCCGCGATTGCACTTCTCCTTCTTGGATTATCCCATATTGATGTTAACTTGCTGGCAGATTTCAAGTTGCCATGTAATCTACTGCCTTGCTCTGCTTTGGTCAAAGAAATGGCCTTGTTTCTGGCTTGGTGGATAACTTTTGTTTGGGCTATATTTACGTCAGTTAGCCTTACTCTTTATAGGCGTGGTTTCCTGTTCGTTTCTTGACAATCCCTGCTCTTCATTGGTGTGCTTTGTGTCTGTTCCTTGAGGACAGAGTTGATTGTTTTCTGGTTTCATATGCAGCCATGTGATTGGTCGATTAAGAAGAGTTTGTAGCAACAATTGTTATATGAAAACCATGGCCCTCTCATTCTGCGTTGACTAGTTACAATTTTCCAATGAGCATTAACATTTCTAACAGGTTTTATTCATAATCTTACTTATTTTTAGATTGAGGACAGCTTTGTAGAAACATGTATTGTATTAAAACCATGGCCTTGTCATTCTGCATTGATGAGTTGCAATTTTCTGGCAAGCTGTAACATTTTTCACAGGTTTTATTTGCAACATTCTTCATAATGCCAGTTTGTATTTTATTTCACTCCGCTTGGGTAATTCAATGAGGCAAGACAACTTTGACAATGCATAATTTTCTTAAATAATTTAGGATTGAAAATTTGCTTGCTTCTGATATTCTTCTTCATGTTAATGTTCAAGTGATAACTAATTATGGTTGATTTGGGGTTATGATCTCGGCATTGTGAGGGTAAATTTTTTATAATCCTACTATGGTAATGCTTTAGCAAGCTAGAGGTTCTTGAATCTGATCCTTATCTGACTTACAGTAATATATTTACGTAATGTTTGTTAATGGCAACATGGGCTTAGAAGTAGGTTTTTCAACTGTTTTAGCTTTAAGAAGTTGACTGGTGAGTGGAAGAAACAATTATTCTTAGCTGTGTTGAAGTCATTAAAGGGAAATGTAGAGTGTTGGCCTTTGAATAATGTACCATTACAGGTTAAAGTACCTCTTTTTTTTTTCTCTTCTTCTGGTTATTTTCATCTCTGTTTTGTCAATTGCCTTTTTCTTGCATTTTTGGTCAATTTAACAATCGCAAGAAAAACTCTATTTGACAATATATTGGTATCTCTTCAGGTGAAATCTGGAACTCTATTTGACAATGTATTGGTATCTGATGATCTTGAATATGCTAAGAAGTTGGCTGAAGAGACATGGGGCAAGCATAAGGATGTATGTGGAATTTTTTTTCCCTAAGCGATGCACAAAAAATAAAAAGGTTTAAATTACTTTCGTCTGCTTGTTGACACATGAAAATGTTCATGTTGTAGGCTGAAAAAGTTGCTTTTGATGAGGCAGAAAAGAAGAGAGAGGAGGAGGTACTTTTCATTAATTCTCCTCTGTTGCATGATGCCTTGAGTACATTTGAATTCCATTTCTGTATAGTTTGGACTTTGGACTTCCTTTATACTGCATTATTTGAACAGTGATCATTTGATTATGAAGAGACAACTTATATCTCAAACTCCTGTCTGATTTTGTTTCAGGAAGCAAAGGATGACCCAGTCGATTCTGATGTAAGTTCCTGACTAAAATGTTGTTCTCAAAAGAGACTCTTTTTGCTCCAGATTTTATCTGTGATATGTTCTTATTACGTGCATTTTCTTAATGGGAAAAACTTGTTCTTTTAGGCTGAGGAAGGCGATGATGATGATGCTGCTGATGAAGCAGATAGTGATGATGCAGACGCCAAATCAGAAACAAAGGAAGATGTTACTGCCGCAGCTGAGGAAAATGTTAAAGTAAGGGCTTTGTCTGATCCTTCAGTGCTGAGTTAACCATGATGATTTGTTATCAGAAATTTCAATTGTTTTAACTCTCTTTCTTCCAGCCTTTTGCAGGACGAGCTGTAGGAAAATACGTGCGAGTGCTGTGGTTGGCCCAACATGCTGCTGCGAAGAAGAACTTTGTTGGCAATTGAGCTCTCGACATTTTTCATTTTTCTTTTGGCTTTTAGCTGTAGAATTGCTGTTTAGGGAAAAAAGATATTGGCTTTTGGCTTTTGGCTTTGAGTATCTTTGTGCTTTGTACCGTTGAAAAATGGTTGAAAAAAAAAGTAGCAACTACAGTCACAAAACTGCTTTTGGCAACTTTCTTGCAAGAAAATCATTTAGTTGCATTTGATCGTCTTTGGTAAGGGGTCGATGGTTTCTAATTAAAGAAGTTACTTGTTTATGGCAAAATGGGCACTCTTTTCTTATAATGGAAAAAAGTCATAAAGAGTTGATGTTTTATTGAAAAATGAGTTTATTTTTATTTTATACGATAAACAAATTCCTTTTTACTTTCAAAATGGGTACTCTGTTCTTATGATGGAAGAAAGTCATAAAGACCTGGTGTTTTATTGAAAAAATGAGTTTATTTTTATTTTATCTGATAAATAAATTTGTTTATGGAAAAATGGGTGCTCTGTTCTTAAAATGGAGGAAAGTCATAAAGAACCAGTTTTTTATTGAAAAACGGGTTTATTTTTATTTTATCCGATAAATAAATTTATTTATGAAAAAATGGGTACTCTGTTCTTATAATGGAGGAAAGTCATAAAGAGCTGGTCTTTTATTAAAAAATAGATTTATTTGTATTTTATCTGATAAATAAATTTATTTATGAGAAAATGGGTACTCTGTTCTTATAATGGAGGAAAATCATAAAGAGCTGGTCTTTTATTAGAAAATAAATTTATTTTTATTTTATTCGATAAATAAATTTAGTTACAAAAAAATGGGTACCCTGTTCCAATAATGGAGGAAAATCATAAAGAATTGGTCTTTTATGGGAAAGTGATACTTTACACAAAGTGACCGCAATTTGGTTTATAAAATAATCCCAAATAAAATTTAGAATGAATTTATTTGTTTTGAAAGTTGTATAACGGTCGTTAAAACTCCAGAGATTGGCAAAAAAATTTTGGGGTTGCATAAAAGCAGAGCGAAGAAGGAGAAGAATTGAGCTTTTTGTCCGTTGCAATTGTTCCATTAAAAATGGCTCTATTTGATTTTACCCATTTTTTGTTGGGTAAAATCGTTGGTTCTAACGATCAATTCTTCATTTCCCGTCAATTGTCCTTAATTGGCCAAAATTATAAAACTTTGAGGATGCTATATGTTTGGGGTGAAACTTTGAGGATGAAAAGTGCATTTTTTCCTATAAAATATTTAATCAAATGTTATTTCTTGTCTTAATTTTTGTTATGACTATGTTACATATTTATTAAATAGACATACCTTTATAATTAAAGTTAATATTTGATATTTTAGGATGCCATATATTTAAATAGATGAAAATTATTTTGAATATAACATATTAAAATAATTTTATTTGTCAATCATTTTGGCCCCCCCTCCAAGGAAAAAATCTTGATTTCGTCACTGCTTAGGAAGAAATTGGGGTCTATTGCTAATAAAAGATTGTGAAAATTTACCTTTATATCCTAATTATTTGAAAAAATCTAATGAACAAATTTTGCAAAAAAAAAAATCTTGTTTCTTACCAACAAATTAAGTAACTAATAAAATCACCTGTAATGTTGTTTTAACATATTTAATTTATGTTAAATACAAATTTTACCAGTTTCTCTTTCGTAAAAATATAAGTATAACACCTTTTCAATTTTAGTTACAAACATTTATTTATTTTACATAAATGTAGTGATTCAGAATAAAATGTCCATAAATAGCTAGTATTTTGTTAATGTAATGCAAAAAATCCATAAAGAACTGGTATGTTATGAGCGCAATCTTTTTTACTTTCACATATTTAAATTTTGTTAAATACAAAATCTACCAGTTTCCTTTTCGTAAAAATATAAGTATAATACTTTTTCAATTTTAATTACAAACATTTATGTATTTTACATAAATATAATGATTCAGAGTAAAATACCCATAAATAGTTAGTATTTTGTTGATGTAATGCAAAAAACTCATAAAGAGCTGGTATGTTATGGGCAAAAACTTTTTTACTTTCACATATTTAAAAATTGTTAAATACAAAATTTACTAGTTTCCTTTTTGTAAAAATATTAGTGTAACACTTTTTCAATTTTAGTTACAAACATTTATGTATTTTACATAAATGTAATGATTCAGAGTAAAATGTCCATAAATAACTAGTATTTTGTTGATATAATGCAAAAAAAAATTATAAAGAGCAAGTATGTTATGGGAAATTTGTTTTTTACTTTCAAAATCAGTTTATGCTAAATACAGGACAATCAGTTTACCTTTCACAAAAATATTAGTGTAGAAGTTTTTCAATTTTAGTTATAAACATTTATTTATTTTACATAATTGTAATTATTCAGAGTAAAATGCCCATAAATAGATAGTATTTTGTTGATGTAATACCCATAATCAGGAGAATCAATTGGAATCCACTATTCCTCAGTCTTGGACGCTTTATGTAAAGTAGAGATATTTGTATTCAATTAAATATGAAACATGCAACAATCTGTCTTCCCATGAACCCAGTTTCCACAAATGTTAATATTTTACTAATATAACAATTAAAATCAATTTCAATAATTCAAATTTAGTAGGTTAGATAAAAGTTGTTAGAAAAGTGAGAAACCCAAAAAAAAATAACTCAAATTTATTAAAAGTCCAAAAAGAATTTAGTACTTCAGCTCTAGAAATCCTCCAAATGACTATATATTAGAACAGCGATAATCAAAATAGATTACATAATTAAAAAATTTAATATTTCAAACATTTATTTTCTTAAGTTTCACTTTTTAAAGGCTCTCAACTCGTTATTCAATAATGTCCATATGTTGCTTCAAAACCAAGCATGGCTGTGTTTAGTACTGCTTACGCTTCCTCTTCGGTGTTTTATTTCTAGACCCATTATATATATGTTAATTCCGTGACACCCCAATACATCTTCAGCTTCTGCCATACACAACATTTCCAAACCGGCCCGTGCCTGTTATAGGTCACCACTTGCTTTTGTAAACATATTCCTTTCATCATCCGTACATGTCAGTTTTTTTGACATATTCTTTACCTTTCCACGTGTCTGCTTCTTTGCCATATTTTTTACCTTTCCACACCTGTCTTTGAATTAGATGAATACACTACAGAATTTACCAAATTTAATGAAGAAGTGCACGTGAGATTGGGAAGTTGCACGTGCATTGTAGACACCA